CTCTCAGTTTGTTTGTTTGTGGCGAGCGAGAGAAAAAGTGACGCATTTTCGCTCGCTTTTTTTTTAACTTGCCTCTACTAACCAAGAACCTGCAAAACTTAATCTAAAAAAAGGATTGGCCGTCATTGCTCTCATTTTAAACTTTGGTACTAGTCAGTCAGCATTGATCCTACTCTTTCAAAATTTAAAATACCATTAGTTTGTCTGAAATAACACTTGGACGTTGGAGGGTAATCATACAAAGGCCGAGGTAGCTGCCGCATATTTTCCCTTTAATTATTTACGAAAACTTAGAGTTTCATCAAAGTAACACCCTCCGGGTGATAAAGCTTGTCTCACCACCTGGTTGTGGATAATGTACTGAGAACAACTTTTGCGCCCCACTTGACACTTACGCGTAAATTCTCTACGGCATTTATTACAGAATGGCGGAAATGCCTCAAAGCTGCGCTCTATATTAAACCCTACGGGATTTGTTACGCAGCGGAAATTGTACAGCATGGTACTAACCAGAGTATAGAAACAATACAAAGAGACAGTTTAACTTACCTTCCATTCTTAAACGTTCCCATGATGGCTTTATCTCCCGTGAAATGCAACACAGGAATCAGAGCATAAGGGAGCTGGCAAAGATAATAAAGGTATTAAAAAAATTCTCGAGCGTCACTCAGTACTGAGTTGGAAACATTTTTAACTTCGATCTGTGCTTCATGATTGTTACATTTACAACTGCCAGTTCTACGAGCTACTCATCAGAAAACCAAATGTTAAACTCTTGTCCTGTTTTTTTTTTTCTCCAAACCAAGCAAAAGTCGCTTCCGGAACTACGTCACAGTTCAACCCTTTCGCTCTCAAGATCTGAAAAGAAATTCTCCTTACTGTCTGCCATACACTTATGATATTAGTTTGGAGAATTTGATATTGGATCAACTAATAAACCCCCTATTGATATTTTTCTTTATTCTCATCACTTGTCTGCTTCATATTGCATTGATATCGTAAGGAGAAATGCTGTCTTGGTCACTGACGGAAGTTAAACAAGGTTTTACGGACAAAAGTTTTTTTCCCTTGTAATACATATATCTTATTGGACTTTTTGTTGTGTAGTATCGCGGAGTATTTTTATGAGT